CAGTTTCAAAATAGCTGAAACTGGTTTAAGATAAACCTGGTTGAATGTAGTATCAGACATAACTGATTTGGGTCAAACCGGTTTACGAAACTTCTGTCCCAGACCCCTTCCTGGAGGCATGTGGCTGCATTTCCTGTATCAAAGATAAATGTCTGTTCCCTTCTGTTTCAATTTAGTCTGTGCAGCTTAAATTAAACTGGAAAGACTAAATCAATTCAGCCTCGGGCTTTTTGACTGTCTGTACCTAACCCTAAAGGGAGGGTGCCTTAGAGCCAGAGCTGGGTGGGTGCCATTTGGCCACCAGGGGCATGACAGGGGTTCTGTTGCATGGAATCCTGTTACATGGAATATGGGATCAATCTCAAAGTCTTTTCACTACAGAATTTCAAAAAAATCTCACTATTTTAGATGCCCAAAGGATATTAATTTACATGCCCAACTAAAGTTTTCAGTAATAGTCCAATCATATGCATCACAAATTATGCTACATGAAAGTCTTCTAAAAAGAAGGAAAGAGGAAAGGTGGACAGGGGTTAACATAAATGAAGTTAGGCCATCTCATTGGTTCTATACATGCTACATCTTTCACTTCTAATGTTTTTCTTTATCTCTCTTCCCATAGTTTCTTTTTAACAGATGGTCCCTTGCTGAGGAAGGCAGTGAAGAAGAAAATGAAGACGGTTGTACGACCTTTCACACCTGTCCATAACAGCCTCTTGGTTCCAAACACCTCTGAAGCAGCCATGTATGTTTTAGACAAATTTATTATCCACCCAATCTGAAAATGGAGTTTCAAGTAAAATGAGTCTGCTAATACGTGAGCTGCCAGCATATGACTTGTGAAATAGCCAACATACTTCTGTGCCAAGTATGTCTTTATGAGATGTACCTTAATGCATTTTGGAGGTGGATTAAGCTAAACTACACAAAGGAACTCAGTGCAGAATAGAAGCATCCATGCAGGGAGATAGCATGGACTATTGTCCTTTAAATTTACACCAAAGCTTATTTTGCAGTAGCTTCTCCATACCAATGCATTTGACAACTTGCTTAGATTCCAGTTGCACAAGGTGTTGGATGTCAAATGGCCACTATTTCTATTAATAGGAATTGAAAGCATTAAGCACTTTATAAGATCAGGTTTATAGAATTGTTTGACACGCACATGACATGATACACTGATGGGTCAGGGCTGTATATCAACATTGCAGATGTGTTGAGAATAGTCTAGGATGCATGGGCTACTGAAAAAGGTATACACCCCAGAATTGTTTTGTGCCAACACCTAAGGATCAGCTTTTAACCTCAGATTCATTCATTCAGATCCCACTGGATTCAGTGGGGTGTGTGCAGACAGATGTGGCTGCTTTTCACTACCTTGAAAAAGCACTTTTAAACACCTATTAGTTATTTTTTGTCTACCTTTCCACAAGAAAACCATCAAACCCCATCCAGTATTTTCTGCTGCCAAAACATTTTCCCATGTTTCCCCCAAATCTTTTACTTTATCGTGTTTATTGGAACAGTTCTGAGAGACAAACTAAAGACAGGGTTCCTTGTGCTAGGCACTGTATAAACACAGAAAAAGTGACAGTATTGTATAATATGAATAGGTAAGACAGACAAGGGAGGGAGAAGAAAGGGATGTGTACTGACTTGGGAATGACAATGGCTTGGGAAGGACAGTTCCTTTTCACAACATCAGAAGATACGAAATTTGGCTTCATTTCACATTAGAATGAAAACAAAACCATTTTTGAAGGAGTTTCATGAAACAGTATTCAGTTTCAGTCTTTCTCTGGAAGTGACCAGAAAGACTACCCTGAACCTCAGAAACTTTCTTATTGAAAATGTCCTTGCAATCACTAAGTTTCTGGAAAGCATGCTTGATGTAAATGAAACAATCTTTTTCGTTGAAAATTGTTTCACTGAAAATGTTCTAGCAGCTCAAAATATAACATGCAAACTGAGTGAACAGTGAGATGGTGGCAAATATCACACTAGTTCTATACTTTCCATTTGGTTTTGTTATTTGATTTCTTTCAAGTGAAGTTTTTAGGTAGATGGAAAGACAAAGAAAGATAGGGTTGGAACAAGAAACCAGTCAGCCCAGGGGGGAGAGAGTATAGAGTATGAACTGCAGAACATGCATGCCTGTGGGGCCTTGCTTGAACTGCTTTCTGAAGCTTCACAGTCAGGTTGTGGCTCTGGGTGGCTCCTCTGTAATTTTTTTTCCCACAGGCCACAAGGCAGGGAAGAAGTAGATCTGAAGGACCTTGGGATCTTCCATTGCACAGTTCTCAGTCTTGGGCTTCTAGGGAACAGAGGTGGCTTCAACAAATAAGCCTCTTCCCTAGTTCAGTCGTATGTATTTGGATTCATGATTGCAAAGCTGTGCCTGTCTCTGTCTAATAACTCTCATCTGTTAATATTCTTCAGTACACTCAGCCGTGTTGCCCAGTTCACCTCCCACTGTCATCATTAGAAACATGGGGATGCAAGTAATAGAGGCGATCTAGAATTGTATCAGTGCAGGAAAAAGAAGTTTTCATTTTTTTAGGAAGTATTCGCAGAAGATAGACCTTCCAGGACTCTTGCATCCCAGTGTTCACAAGTGTAAAGAGAACTAGGGAGAGTAAAAGGAAATGCAGAGACTGTACAAAAGAGGGGAGATTCTGTTAAAGTTTAAATGCTGTCTTGAACTGTGGGGAGAGTAGGGAAAAATCCTCCAAAGCATATGAGATCTGACTGCTTCTGCTAATAACATCCATCACTTACCTTCCTCTTTTTCTCTAGTTGGGGA